CCACCAGTATCTGGGGGAACGTTTGTTCACCAGAGCGCCCCAAGGGATGACAAGGTCAAATAGTTATAAACTACTGCAAGACCATTTCAGACTGGACATAAAGAAGAATTTCTTTACTGTCCGAGCCCCCAAGGCCTGGAATAGCCTGCCATCAGAGGTGGTTCAAGCACCTACATTAAACACCTTCAAGAGTAAATTGGATGCTTATCTTGCTGGGATCCTATGACCTCAGCTGACTTCCTGTCCTTCGGGCAGGGGCTGGACTTGATGATCTTCTGAGGTCCCTTCCAGCCCTAATATCTATGAACTCTATGAAATTAATGTGCTCATGACTAATTGTTCACTTTGAGTTCATAAAGCTCAAGTGTTGGGGGAGAAAGATCACTCTTTTAGACCAAATCATAAAGCAGGCCCAAACTGCTGCTTCCTCTTGGATCTCTCCCCAGGAAGATATGGCACGTCTTCGCATTGTCCATATCTATCACCGGTGTTAATGAATAATCACTAAGAGAACTGCTAAAGGTATACAAATAAAATGGTTTATTAAATCGCAATGAACAATAGATAGGTAGCACCTGGTTCCCATAATGACCCTTACCAATACAACAATATAATATGGACTCAAGGATGAGGTAGACTTTATTGAGGGAGAAGGAAAACTTTATTAGGCTCGTGTCCCTGCCTGTGGTCTCCCGAGCATGGTCTGCTCCTCAGGCAACTACTCAGTAGGACTTATCTTCCCCTGACAAACAAGGAGGAGTAACCCACAACCAGGACAAGAGTGAGGGAGAAAAGGAATAGGTGATACTTACAATGGGAAATGGAGAGCCGCTGCTTTATGTGATGCATACACCCGAGGGGAAAGAAACCTGGAGAGCCAACCCTATCTACCTCCAGCGAAGGTTCACCTCAATGGAGGGAGGAGATCGATGGAGCCTCACAGGTCACTGAAAATTACCATGGTATGCCTCCATAGTGCACCAGCCAAAGAAACCAGTCACTCTATCCTACCTCTCACTCCAGTCTCTCGCTCTAGCAACACAACCACCAATTCCTTCAGCAAACACCTTCCTCCAATCTCTTGGAGCCTGTCGACACCCCAAAAATGCACACAGACCTCTTAGTCAAGCTCTCAGTCCAGCCACACTACACACCCACAGTCTCACACACCCTGACCTGTCAATCAGAGCCCCCTTTTATATGGGTAGTGCACCCCATTCACTTAGGCTCTGCACTCAGCACTTGGGTGTGCAGACGGCACTCTATTCCAGGGCCTCTGCAGGTAGCAGATATCACTCTGCACAGGGTGGGTCAGGTAAATGTCATCTGCTGACCCACTTAACAGAGCTCCATGATCCAGGCCTGAATTTGCTCTCAGCACAAGGTCCAATGACACCATTTCTCCAAAGAACGTGAACGCTTTTTTAAATCAAAGGCCCAAGCCACTGGGTCAGAGGCAGTACGTTGTCATTGAGACCCTCCAACACTGCTCATTGGAAATGAAAAAGTTAAAATTGAAGTTGATAGGGAAAGTAAAGAATGATGTTGCAACAATATTACTTGTTTAATTTTAGAGGAAGTAGATAGACCTGAGGATTTATAGACAAGAGCTATTAGAAATAAAAGAAACTTTGGAGTCATAGAGGAAGCACATTAGCTAGCTCATTGTTTTTAATCCAATTGGACCAGAAATGGCAATCCCTAACCCTCTCTACAGCCAAGATATATAAAACACAGCATTGTCCTTTAATTTCCCAAAATTACACCATTTGTTGAGTACGGGTACACTCATATGCACTGAGATTCAGAAAGAGGCAGAACAATACAACATACTAGTAGTGGGGTTTATAACTAGATACAGGAATGTTCTAATGCACAATCTGCATGCAAATGTATGAAACTATTGAAAACAAAAATGAAGCTAAGATTTTCAAAGGCAACTACCGGAGTTAGGTTAAAATCCTCACCAAAGTTCAGTGAGAAGTGGAACTGTAACTCCTTTACACTTGTTTGAACCTTAACTGTGAAATATAAAAACTTCTAATATTCCCCAACGTGCAAAATCTTGAAACTTCTCATGGGAAAATGTTCTGCAGAAGTCCCAGTAATACTTGCAAGCTGATTATGCAATCAGGCACACATCATAATGCACAATCAGGCACACATCTGCTCTTTAGGTGGAATGCTCTTAAGAATAAAATGGAAAGCCACTAAATCTTATATGTCCTCAGAGAACAGTAGTTTCCCAATATATATCCTTATACTCTCACTCCACGATCTGCCATTGAGGAAGCTGTAGGATTTACTTTTGTTCTCAGGATTCAGTGACACTAAGATTATATCCTTATAACCAAAAACAACAGAAAGAAAGAAAAAAGATAATACTGTACAGTAGAAGCTGGGGCACTGCCCAACTTGGTTCTAAAATTATATTAATGTAGATTATATTGTATTTAAAGAGACAAAACAAACCTGACATTGAAAGCACACACATACACAACCTGAAAAATGAGATCTTAATTAGCTAACGAATGCCATCCAGATGTTCTACTTTTTTAAAAGCTTACCAGATACCATTCTATCCGATGGTACAAGCTTGGATCCTATGGTAAAGCTTAAAAGATACCATCCTATCCTATGGTACATTCCAACATCCTTCATAGTTCTAATTGGAATTGTTTGCTTAATATCTAATTTATAACATACCATAGACATATTCCAAGAAGATCCTGTGGGGCACAAAAGAGGTACATTTACTTTCTTTCAAACTGTCAACTCAGATTGGTCCTAGATTTATTTTATACATTTCATTACAATAGTGTTTTATATTAAGTATTGCCCGCATTACCTCCAAAATGTTCCATGATGTTGTGAATCTGCATTGTGTTGACAATGCATTTACATATAAGGGCAAATAATTGTCTTAATTCCACCTCCTTCTAACAGATAATCTGTGAAATAAATATCTGTACAGCTATTTAAGAAAAACAAAAAATATTTCAATCGTCCTGAAGTTATGTAGGTTTTGTGAAAGTGATTTTGCTTTCTAAAATAAAATGAACTAATGTTTTCCTTATACTTATATCTTCTTTTAATTGTTTGTAAGTTGTTTATTCTTAGATTCAAGTTAATATTTATATATATTTTGATTTTAGACTCTTTTAGCCTAAATATTTACTGGAGATGAAGATAGTGTGGGTTTGTTGTAGTGAAATTTAAAACTCATCTCTAATTCTAAACTAAAAATGACAGGTTCTTTAATGAAATACCCTTGATTTCTTCAGGTTATATCATTAATTAGACCACCTGCATAGTTGGGACAAGCTTTTGAATGGAAGAAGGAGAATGCAATGAAGAAGTATTTCAAGCATTTGGAAGATTATCTCAAATTAAACTATACAGTTAGTCAAATAAAAGATATTGCCTGAAGAAATCATTGATTCTTGGATAATCCATGGCTACAATGTCTCTCTAACACTTCTAGGTTTTATACAATAACTCTTATTGCATCAATATCTTTGGTTTCAAAAGCAGCACATCATGTTGACTGCTTTGCCAGTTTTAAAAGCAAGAAGTACTATTCTTAAAGAATTCACCAAAATCCCAGAATATTTTGCTCCAACCAAATATGGTTTTCCAAATTTTCCACATTAAGTATTTAATTAAAATAGTTTTAGGAAATTGTAACCTCCATGATTAGACTCCACAAGAATTCATTAATCATGGATTAATAATTTTCTATTAAAAGTGGGAAAGCATTATTAAATGGTGAAAGAATATTTTAACCCATAAATGGATATAGAAAACATTTGTGTGGCAGCTTTTATAAAGGGAAGAATTCACTCTGAGGATTAAATTAAAGAGAATTGCCAAATAACATTTACAGAGTCTCAGTGTCAGTTATGAGGATAAATTTAGTAACCTGAATTATTTTCCCATTTGAGATCCCCATACTGGAAAGCAGGTATTCTTCATTAGTTAAAAAAAAGGAATATTTTCCCTCGGTGGGTTAACATAAGCCACAAGTCTTAGGAGCTATCTTTGGCTTGATATAGATTCCAAAAGCTTGGAACAGAAAAGTATTTCCCTATTTGATATTAAGCTAAACATACAGTTACAGATACAATATGTAACCTGTTTATAGAAAAATTATCATCCTATACCTTTGTTGTTATCCATTCCTCCAACAGCATACAGTGTCCCAACTGTAGATTTTCTAGGTTTTGTCCTTGGACTTTGCATTAGAGTTCTTCTCTCTGGTAAAAGATGATATTTCATGGCTTCCAAAATCAGTTTCTGGCATTCCAAGTCATCCTTAAACAGTGCATGGTTTTCTAGGTCAGCCAATATCTGTGAATGACACAGGCATGAACCAGTAATTCCAGCATTTCTAGATAATTAGTACTGTAGAAGTGGAGAAGGTTAACATTATTGATTAAAGGTAACATACAAAATGAATCTCTTTTTTATAGACAACACTCATTCTAATCTAATATGTTTTAAATGTTTGTATGTATCCGCAACAGTTTATGGTGTGGGCAGCTCACTGTCTCCATATATGCTGCCCAGACTTTTGCATCCAGGAGAGGTCCCTCCACCTTGGCTTTATCTTTCAGTTGAGGATTATGTTCAGCAACCTGATGTCTCAAAGTAATTCTATTGTCTCATGAGACAGACAGATGTCTACTTCTATGGATTATTAAATACAGAAAGTTGTATTTAAAACAGTAACTTCCCCAAGGTATATGGTATATGGCAGGTGCTTCCAATTCAAAGTATATGGTTAGAAAAGGGCATCACCAAATGATCCACATCATTGGGCAAAACAGACATTGCCCATTGTCCTGCAGGGTCAGACCCCTGTCACTCAAAGGAGAAGAAGGGCCCCCATCCTGTGGGAGAACACTTGAGACATGTCTCTGCAAAAGAGGGAACCCTGGGTTTCACCACCCACAGAGGCGCACTCAGGGATTCCCTGGCAAGGGGTTTTCCAGGTGTGTGTATCATGCTGTTGTGCCCCCAGAGTCCCCCTGTTTGCAGAAGCATGCCCCAAGTTGGGGCATGTCAGTGAAATATGCAGTCCTGGAGGGATCCCTTGCCAGGAAACCCAGGGTTCTCCTATTTACATTGGCACACTGAGTCAGGATGAAGCTGTCCAATATGCATGTTCTGTGCCAGGAAATTCTGAGAATGCCTCTGCAATGCCGGCAGGTGCTCCTGGGGTTTCATGGGTCTGATCCTGCCTGTTCTAGAATTTCCTGCCCCAAAACAAATGTGTCCACCAAACCAACAAACAAACAAAAAAACCCAACCCAGCAGAAATGTATGCTAGCTATTGTTGCTACCACAGTTTTTGGCATTTGTTGCTACCCATTGTTGCTGCCACAATTTTTGGCATGACAAGGGACATAGATGTCTGCTTGTTTGGCCTTTATGCCAATATAAACATTTTTATGGTGGCACATAGGCAACATCTGTGTCCAACCTATGCGAATACTGTACTCTTGTACATAGGAGCTTGGTAATTGGTTAGACATTGACTTGTTAACAGGTTCCACTGGAAATATAAAACTGTCATACTATCTAAAATATAATAGCATCTTAGATTGGTCTACTTTTTATAATATTTTGCATTGTCAATCCCAAAGATACATTCAAATTCTTTATATATAAATTATTTAGCTACTCATGAAAGTATCTCTCTGATTTTCTGGATTGCTGCCTATCTCATGTATATTATTAGAAACAATGAAACAGAAAAGAATAGTTATTCCACTTCCTACTGAATTTACATGGATTATGTGACAGCTTCTCTGCAATTGCCACAGCAGTTGCCATCAATATTCCTAGAAAATGGATGACCAGTGAGTCAGATTGCACAAATTAGTAAGTATGTTTAAAATGATATTAGGACATGGTAGCATGTGAAAATTGTCAAAGTGGAGGAACCTAGGTTACACATAAAATATTGGTCTGCTTATTAAAAAGGTATTTTTATATTGATTTTCAAACATATGACTTAGAAGAAAAAAATAGTTAATCATATATGAACAATTCTTTGTTTGTATAATCACCTGCCTTGTTTGTATATATTTCAAGGTTAAAAGATATTTGAAATCTTTGGATGATTACAGAATCAGATGAAGGAAATTTGTTTTTTTATAAAGATCTCAGATTCAGGGAAAAGAAACAGTTTTGATAATCTGACATTTGGATAAGAATGGTTTTTCTTATTTAGTTTTTGTATGCACTTTGCTATTTGTGTACACATATTTTTCAGGAAAAATTAAGTATCTATTTCTGATTATTTGAACTATAAATTTGTTCTGAACATGTGTACCAGCATTAAGATTTTTCCTGATAGACCTAGAGTGTTTTAATCCTGGACGACTAGTATACAATTACAAAAATATCAGACATTCAGATTGTAATTTCTCACATATTTATTTTATGTTCCTATTCATTTCTGGTTTCACTAATAAATATTAGTTAAGTAAAACGTCACTCCATACATTCACTGTTAAACTGGGTTTCATTTTTACAAATAGCAAACTCATTGAACTATCAGTTCCCCTTCTTTTCACACATGAACTCATGACTATCCTGTTGATATGTGAAGATTTATTTATTTTTTTAATCTGTACTTTCTCCCTGGTCTCAGAAGCCTCAAGGCCCTAAAACTGCCTTAACTATAGCCTTTCATCTCCTCCTATCTTGCACAATCTCCTTCCACCTTATCACATCTTTGCCTATCCCAACTTTTTTATATGATCTTCCCTTGTTACCTTGATGTATTTTGTGGCCTGATGCCATCCACCTCAGCTAACAAAATCTGCCTCACATGTCTTCTCACTAAGGCTGCATACAGGCATTTGAGGAGGTCACAGGGAGGTTAGATTGCATTAAAAATAGCTACCCAATCTAACCTAGTTCACCTAGTTGTGGACTTTACACTAGTTAGGTGGATCTAAATGCAAACTGTATTGAAGTGCAGGAGAGTTAGATCAGTCTAAAAATGGCTGACAAGATCTAATTTAATCCTACCTCTGAGGTATATGTAACTTAGATCAAGTTGGCCATTTTTAGACTCATTTGTCCTGAATTTCTATACAGTTCCCAGTACAGCCCCAGGCCTGGGAAAGCCCAGCCACTGGTCCCAGCCTTGGGGCTGCATGTTTCCCACCCCATCCCTGGCACTGAGCTATTTTTAACTCCCTGCCAACAGCCTGGTAACCCCCCTCCCCCCAATCCAGCAAGCCACTCCCAGTGCCAGTTTTACTGGTGTTCGACAGTGCTGGGAGCTGAACAAATAAATTGGGGTACGGGGAGGGGCAGGAGGGATAGGGATGTTGGTTCACTAGGTAGGGAGGGGGGTCTGTTAATTTGAGGGGTTGGGGGCCTAAAAATAGCCCTTGTCCCCAAGAGGTGGGGAAGAGAGTCCTCCCATCCCCCAAGCCCACTGTGGACCCCGTGTGCCCCTTGGATTCCACCTGCCCCCCCAATCACCCCCAGGCATGTCACCTGCCCCCAGATTTCCTGATCCCTCCTACAGACTACTTGCCCCTGATCCCTCCTGCGGATGCCGTCTGCCCTCCCTATCTCCCTAATCCCTCCTGCAGACCCCCACATGCCTCTCTAATCCCTCTGTGGACCTCACTCTCCCCCCTGATTCCCCAATCTCTCTTGCAGAACCTGCCTTCCCCCAATCACTCTGCAGGCCCCCCATCTTCATTGGAGCCTGCCTGTCTCCCCATCCCGCTAAGCTCCCTCCTCTATCTGCCATCATGACTTATCTTGGAACAGATGGCTATTTTTAATTTAATCTAACCTCCCCCTAACCTGAATATCTATACTCAGACCATGCAAATAAGTTTACCATACACACTTTCTTTATACCTCCTTGCTGCCTCCTTAAAGAGACACATACTAGTTTGTTGGTTTTAAAATACAGTAATTTAAGTAGAACAGATTATGCAAAACTGTTGAGGATTACAATGGACTATGTGTGTAACAAGTCTTAAAATAAATAAATAAGTTAGTGATGATAGACTATATGTGCAAGATGGAGATCGATAGTTCTTAAGCAATGTGAAATACAAGAAGTCAGGACTATGTGATGAACAGGGAAGGGGATAGGGAGAGGAAGGAACACAAAAACGGTCTTTAAACTTATGCTAACTCCAGACCAAACAATGTAAACTAAAAAAAATATATGGCATGATTAGATTAATTCAAATGTAATTCTTCTGTTTTAACAAAGAGCAGTAAGAGTTTATAAGAATTAGCAACAGAAATTTTCCCAATACCCATTCATCTGCTTTCAAAATGGGCCTTAACATCACTGAAATCATCACAGGAAGCAAACTCTTTCCTGGTGAGGAAATATGAAACAGAATAACTACCTGTCTAAACAAGTAATGTAAAACCTGCAAACACATCTTCACTGTCACTAGGATCAATAAACCTTATATTTAAACCATCAGAATCCACATATTTTATACATTCCTAACACAAAACATGACATTTTTCATCAAAATACTTCAGAGAAACTAAGTGGGTGGAAAAATAAAAACAAACAGACCAACCCCCCCCCCCCCCCCCCCCCCCCACAACAAAAGCCCACACAAAAAAGAAAAGGAAAAAAAAAAAAAAAAAAACCCCCCCCCCCCCCCCCCCCCCCGTGGTCAAGAACAAAGTCTCAGAGAAAAAAGGTAAGGGAAAGAAATAACCAAGTACTAGTAGAACAACAGTTTTCAGAGGAACCAGTTTGTATCTGTCCTTACAGTCCTTGTCTTTGAATGGAACTACACAATGCCTTAGGAAGTAGTAAGCAATTGTTGATCCCCCTGGATCCTGGTGCATGTGTGAGATGTTATCCAGACCTTCAACATGTACACCTAGGCAGGAATACGGAGGAGTGGAGGCTTCCCAGACTTTCCATCCCCTCATTAGACCATTGAGACAAAATTCAAAAAGCTGACTGAGTTTGGACATTTCGTGCTTTGATGGCTGTAGTTATATGCACATCCAGAGATGGAACCTGGGTAACCCACCTGGTAAACAAGGATTCAAGCACTGGACCACAACAGCAGAGTGCCTGCAGAAGACAGGCATGGGAAAAAAATGGAACAAAAAAAAAGTAGTAACTACTTCTGCTATCTTCTCTTTGGTCCATTAGTTTACTTGGTCCATTCCCCATCTTGTGTACAATAGACAAGCAGTAGGGCAGTTATTCAATACTTCCAGAGTTTTCCATTAGAAATGTTTTTCAGTATTTCTGTGAAGAATGTATTGCTAGAAATAGAATTATTTCATTGGTCTCATCCAATGGGATATTTTTTGTTTGTTGC